GGAGGGGCTCAAAGCCCATCCATATAACTTCTCAACTTTTGAGTACCATATCTGCAATTCGAATATGCATGTGAATATCTTCTATAGAAAGAACATAATGCTATATATCTTCATGAGTCCAATCCGAGTTTGAGTATGCTAATTGGACATGGATTCATCTACATTGTTATAAAAACACTAATAAGTCTTATTTTTGGGGCATTGCAGTTAAGCGTTGGCTATTTGCCTCAGATCCCGCCATGGGTTGCCGAGACTTTATGCCCTTGAGGGACCTCCAAAACCCGGCAAAAGGGTTCGTTTCCAATGATGCTCTGATCGTTGAATTCCAAATCCACGCCGTATCAACCGTGTCGATTTCTTAGGATTTTGATGACTTACTTCAATATTTAGTCGGAATTGATTCCTTGAGAATAATGTGTACTGACCAAATTGCATTGATGTTGGTATTGGTACGCCAAAACCATGTCAATTTTCTCTTCCTGATTTGGTTTCCCTCCCCCCAATTGGATTTACTTTGTTTAGACTCCTGTCAACTTGGTTCCACCTATGTTCTCTCATGAATGAAATAAGTTTGTCTCGACAACAAAAAAATTGGTTTCTTATTTAATTACTAGATGTAGTCCTAAACTTTCAAGGAAAACCGTTACAAATCCGTTATAAATGATTGCAGTCAAGACCGTTACAAAAACCGTTACAAAATAATAGCTTTTATGATTGTCATAACTTTAATCAAAGCTATTACTTTCAAATAGTTCAAAACTGTTAAAATATCCAACACTCCCCCAAATATTTCAAAAGGTTTTGAAAATAAAAAAAATAGAATACAACTGGGTTGTTGGAGAGTGATGCATCGGAATTGGTGCTTGTTAAACTATGAAACAGACCATTGACCAAAAAAAAAAACTATGAACCAGACCTAGAAAAAACGAAATATAATTCACAAAATCACTGGTGAAGTTTGAAACTTCTATGAACCAAGAATTTCTTTTTGTGAATTATAATTTTCATCAATCATATTATACTCCCACAAAGCTTGTTGTTCAACGTTGTTTTACGCTTATAGGCCTTACACGTGCTTGGTTTATTCATAAGTGCTCTAGAGATTAGTGCTAATAATTCTCATAGGAGCAACCTCAGTCCACACTTACATAGGCGATTCTATCAAGTGTATTTCACAGTTTAATACATCATCACTAATGGTTATGGAATTGAGCTTAGCCTAGCCTCTTTTTCATTGCAGTCTTGCATTATTCTCACCTTAAGAGGGACAAAATTTTTTAACAGTGCATCACTAGATCAACAAGTGACTTATTATTAACCACATAAACCTAATTCATGGGATCGCCAATTATATAAGTTGGGTTACCATCACTATTGATTTTCTTCAACGGGCTTAAGTCCCATTCCCCTCGATGTATAATTAGATGATCGGCCGAATCCACTTCTGACTTCATATAATCAATGGACATAAGTATATCTTTAAGCAATTGCTTTACCACGTCATGTTTTGACCGGACGTATCTCTTTTTACCATTAAAAGTTTCATTCTTTGCGATGGCTGTTGCCACTTGGCAATCACAATGTATAAACATGAAAGGTGTCGATTTCATTCCCTTTCCCAAGAACTTGAGCATTTCTCAAATTACCAAAAAATAGTAAATATTTTCTCTTCTCCTTTCCTAATTGAGCGTAGGAGGATTAGCATATTGTTCGTACATATATAACTGGTAGCACCTTAGTCTAGCACCCATTCTTTCGCATTGACCACAATATTGGCTTGGAAATGATTGCAGCAATTATGTCGTCGGATCATCTGCTTCAACCAAGTTGACTTTTGGTTTAGCGGGATGGTCTCCCCCAAAAAAAATTTTGTTTGGTTGATTTCCAAGTTACAACATATTCACAAGGTGAACACATATCCATCAATGGATTTTCTTTCATGTGAATCTAAAATCCAATTAGTATCATTATATCCTTTTAATATAGCAGAAATCCACTATGTATAATGCCATAGTTTATGGTTCCTCAAATAACATGAAAAATCTAATCAAGAGCATCTTATTCAGTGTATTTCTAAATCAAAATTGACGTGTTCAAGCTGTGGAAATACAAATATTCAGCAAAGTAGTAATATAAATTCCACTGACTTCCTCCTACGTGAACATATTTATTGATATTACCAAAATAATATCCAAATGAGACCAAACCCTCATTATTTGAACAAAAATGTATAAGAACAGCAAGCATGAACATCTATCAAATAAATTCAAACCACGGACATTGAAATAAATAGGAAGATCCAAATAGCAACTTGGGCAGCCCACTCAAAATCCAACTGTCTCAGGAAAATCTTGCCTCACAAGTCTTGAGTCACAACACTTTTCGCACATTGGACTAGCATAAATGAACAAGAGTCCACACGCGATTATTAACCCATTCATCCACGGAGACACACGACACGTCTCTCCTAGCTTCAAAGATGTACTATGCAATTTATGACTGTGATTCTCATTGTCAATCATGATAACGAACTTAAACAAAATCATTTGAATATGAATGGCAAAAGAACACTATAAATGCCATAAGTTGTGTACGGAGATCACTTTGATGCCATAACTTTTTTTCGGATCACTTTGGTGCCAACTTTTTTGAAAAACGATCACTTTAGTGCCAATGCTGACATGGCCGCCGGAAATCTGACGTGGCTCTTTTTTTATTAATTTTCGATGCTGACATGGCTCACCGGAAATCTGACGTGGCTCGCCGGAAATCTGACGTGGCTCTTTTTTTGGCCGGAGTCACTAAAGTGATCTCTTTTCCTCCGATTTGGCACCAAAGTGATCCGAAAAAAAGTTATGGCACCAAAGTGATCTCCGTACACAACTTATGGCACTTATAGTGTCCTTTTGCTGAATATGAATATAGCAGGTATCTTATCAATACAAGTCACGATTCTAGCCGAGATGACTCAGTGTCAAAAACACAAACACTTGATACGCCGGTTAATGAGAATACCAACTCAACTGGGAATACAAACGATGAATAGAGAGCGAGAAAGGTAAATCAAAGTCATGATCCAAGGTGAGATGACAACATGTTCCATTTTCTTTTTGATCCCATGTATAATGGAAAGATAATACATGTAATGGAAATGCTAGACAATTCAATAACTTGTGTTGACTAAACAGATGGTCGCCTTAACTTTTTAATCCCAAAAAATAAAAATAATTATTAAAAAAAAAGATTAGCCTGATTTCTTTACGTTTCTTTTCTAGTTTTCCTTTTCTTTTCTCTTTTTAAGTAGCCACACTGAATCACAACGTCGTTTTAAAGATTTTTCTAAATAGGTAATTTGAATATTTATAAGCATCGTCTATAAAAAGTATAAAACCACAAATTCATGGAATACGCTTGACTCAATCAAATCAAATTCGAAGAGAACACACGACAAGAATTCACCAAAAACTTGCCTACATGATATCGAACTTCCTCTCGGAAAAACAAACATAGGTATAGAAGCCCGAAAAACGATTTTACCTAACACTCAATAACCTTACCAAAACGATCAAAAGCTCTTTTGTGCTTATACTAGGTAATGTCCCACGACAAACCGTCCACAAATATGCGATACTTATCCTTCACCATCTTTGAGTCCTCGTTCAATTCCAATAGCAGAGGTTGCAGCGGTGACAGTTTCAACTTGGGAATCCATAGGCATTATCCTTAAAAATATTAGAAAAATATAAGATAATATGAAAAATAAGAATTGTTGGAAATCTGTTGGAAAAGAAGAGAAAATAAGATTAATTGTCCGAGTTGTGCAAGCACTATCTTTAAGATATAACTGACCTTCTTCTTTATTCCGCACAAAGTAATAGAAGGAACATGAACAATATTATGTGTATAACCCAGTAAAGAAAGAAATAAATAGAGCAAGAATAAAGATTTTTATGTTTTTGTATATCCATCTTCAGTTATGTTCGGAATAACAATTTCTAGGGAAAAGAAAGAGAGTCATCAATTCTTGCATTAAATTGAAAAAATTTACAAAATCGTTGCAATACTGATACAAAATAATGGCTTTCATGACTATCATGACTTCTACTTTCAAATATATCAAAACTGTTGATCATAACTTAGAAGCCCGAAATACAAGTTTCGGTTCAACTTCAATCGGCCAAAGTGAAAATCAGACTGAAGAAACAGAACAGTCATTATTTTCCTTACACTCCTTGTCGATGACTCTTCCATTTTTGGGGCTGAGGTTTTTGTCATTGATTCCACTGCAAAATGGGAGTCTCTCACCACGATCCAGGACCCACCTCACTGCACATTCACTTGGAAGATCCGAAACTCCTCCAAATTGGACAAGAGCCTTTACTATTCTGACGTCTTCACTGTTGGAGAGAGTAATCGGTACGTTCTCAAGTCAAAATTTTGCAAATTAAACTATTCAAACTCGTTTATATTCGTTTACGAACTGTAATTATCGAATCTCGGAAGCTCAGAGTATATCCGAAAGGCGATGCTGCTGGAAAAGGAAGTCATTGTCCATTTATTTGCAGTTACTTCGTGTTTAAGACCTTCCTCAAAAGAGAAAAGTACACGCCGAGTACTATTTGTGCGTATTGGACCGGCTGAATGATGGTCATAAGGAGAAAGAAACAAGAAGAGTCTGTACCGGGAAAGAGATCCCCTCAAAATTTTTTTTTTGGGCTCGCTTTCTTTCTCTATTGCGCCGTCCGACGTGCGTTTTTCCCGATCTTCTTCATCGCAATTCAGTTTGCGAATCTGATCTCATGGCCGACGAACAGTCGAGTGTTACAAGCGACCAAGCGAGATGCTAGCGCCTGCACTCTTGCCATCTGGCCGGGCAGCATTGCTGCGATGAAGCGGCTCTTGACCCCGAGGCCGCACCGCCGCGCGTTGAACCTCCTGTTGCACCGATTGCTGTCAAGCTTGATGGCAAAAATTATGGCGTATGGTCCCAGGTTGTTGAGATGTATGTCTCGGGCAAAGACAAACTGGGTTATTTGAATGGTGATTCTCCTGAGCCCCCTCCTACATATCCATCTTTTAGACAATGGAAGACCTATGATTCTACGGTGAAAGGTTGGCTTATCAATTCTATAGACCCAGCCTTGATACCAAACTTTATTCGGTTTCCTACTGCCAGAGCCGTATGGGATGCTGTGGCAACGACCTTTTTTGATGGATCTGACACCTCCCAAATCTATGATATTAAGAGGCAGGTTTCTCGATTGAAGCAAGGAGGTGGACCCATCGAGAAATATTACAATGATCTTCAAGGGCTCTGGCGTGAGATTGATTTCCGCCGTCCTAATCCTATGCAATGTCCGGCCGATATTCTGAGGTACAATGCCATTGTTCATGAAGATCGAGTTTATACTTTTTTGGATGGTCTCGATGACCGCCTGGATAATGTTCGTGCTGATGTTATGAAGATGGATCCATTTCCCACTATTGAGCAAGCTTATGCCCGAGTCAGGCGAGAGGATATGCGCCAATCTGTCATGCTCTCCACTCCTGTCGAGGTCAACTCTGGTTCCGCCATGGTGTCACAGCGGGGCAAGGGTGATCAGTTAGTGCTTTCTGCCCGGGGACCTCGCCCTAAACCTGGTATGCCAATTCAATCCGAGGGATGCTCTCACTGTGGGAATCCTAAACATATAGCAGCATCTTGTTTTAAACTGCATGGTTATCCGGATTGGTGGGATGATTTTCAGACCAAGAAGAAGAAACAGGGCTCCCAAAAGGGGCGGAATGGAGGGCAAGCCTCCTTAGTGACTAGCGGCTTGTCATTAATTCCCATGGAGCCTGAATCTGCTAATGCCAAATCTCTTGAAGGTAATTGTGGGTTTGTCTTTGCTAATGGACATGGTGATGGTCATCATGGGTGGATAATTGATTCTGGCGCTACAGATCATATGACTCCGGAATCTGGTGATCTTCTTACATCTACTACACCACGTCGAGATCATATTTACAATGCTAATGGATATAGCTTTCCTGTGACGGCTGCTGGGCGTGTGTCTGTCACGCCTTCCCTCTCTCTATCTCATACCTTGCTTGTTCCTTCATTGTCTAATCGTCTGTTATCAGTTGGACAGCTTACTAGTGAGTTGAATTGTGTTGTGCTTATGTACCCTGATTTTTGCCTGTTTCAGGACATTCTCACGAAGGAGATTATTGGGCGTGGTACTAAGAGGGAGGGGCTGTATTTCGTGGATGAAATTACTTCTGGACGGACCTATCATTCTCGTGGACAGTTAGCTCAAGAGAAGGAACTTTGGTTATGGCACCGTCGGTTAGGTCACCCATCTTTTGGGTATTTACGGCATTTGTTTCCCAAGTTATTTCATGGTCTATCGAACTCTAGTTTTCAGTGTGATACATGTATTTTGGCAAAGAGCCATCGCACTTGTTTTCCTCCCAGTTTGAATATAAGTTCTGCTCCTTTTTCCTTAATTCATTCTGATGTATGGGGTGCGTCTCCTATTACTACTGTATCTGGGTTTAGATGGTTTATCATCTTTGTTGATGATTGCACGCGTATGACTTGGCTATATTTGATGAAACATAAGAATGAGGCTGAAGCTATCTTTCGGACTTTCCACCGTATGATTCAGACTCAGTTTGGGGCCAAACTTCAGGTTCTCAGGACTGATAATGGTGGCGAATACTTAAGTAAACCTCTTGCAGCTTATTTTCAAGAACATGGTTTGATACATGAAACTTCTTGCCCTCAGACTCCTCAGCAGAATGGTGTTGCTGAGCGCAAGAATCGCCATCTTCTTGAAACCACTCGAGCACTCTTGGAGGGTAGCCATGTTCCCCATCGTTTTTGGGATTCTGCCGTAGTCACAGCTGCTTATTTGTTGAATCGCATGCCTTCCCGCATTCTGAGCTATCGCACGACAATGCAAGCACTCGCTGCCCATGTGTCTCTTCCTTCGGTTCTTACATTGCCTCCTAAGGTGTTTGGGTGTGTCGCTTATGTCCATCTTCACAAAAATCAGCGGACCAAACTTGACCCCTGTGCAGTCAAATGTGTGTTTCTTGGTTATGGCCCTTCTCAGAAAGGGTATCGGTGTTATGATCTTGCCGAGAAGCGCATGTATGTCACCATGGATGTAACATTTATTGAGACGGAGTCCTATTTTCCTTCCCCCCAGTGTCCTGTTCAGGGGGAGACTAGTTGTAGAACCAGACATTGGTGGGAGGTAGGAATTGCAGGAGCGACACGGCCACATGATTTTGAGGTTGCACATGGTTCTGAGGCTGCTGAGGCCGAAGATTTTGAGCTACTGCCGCATGATTCTGAGGATGCACAACCAGACAACACTGAATTACGGCACGGGTCCGAACAGGTGTCAACAGATGCACAGCTGCAACTGTCAACAGATGCACAACTGCAACAGCCCTCCTTGTCTTCGCCCTCTTCGCCCTCTTTAGTACCACTCCAAGCTCCTGAGAATGTATCTGAGGTAAGTACTTCTACTGTACTTGATTCTTTTGAAGATACTGATGTGCTTACTGGTTATAAGCTACCCGATAGGCATAATAGGGGTAAACCACCGAATCGATATTCTCCAGATGTAGAGGACCGCCGGTCTCGATACCCTATTGCAGACTATGTGTCTGCCAAGAGGCTGTCCACACCACTACAAGCCTTCGTGTTTACGATTTCCTCAGTTCAAGTTCCAAACAAGGTTGAAGAAGCCATGAAGGATCCGAAATGGCTTCAAGCGATGGAGGCAGAGATGGAGGCGTTGGAGAAAAATCGAACTTGGAAACTTGTGGAACTACCAAAGGATAAAAAGCCGGTTGGATGTAGGTGGGTGTTCACAGTCAAACATAAGGCAGACGGCACTATTGAGAGGTATAAGGCGCGACTGGTAGCTAAAGGGTATACACAGACTTATGGGGTGGATTATCATGAAACATTCTCTCCAGTTGCAAAGTTAGACACTATAAGAGTGTTGTTATCTCTGGCTGCAAACTTGGACTGGCCTTTGCATCAATTTGATGTGAAGAATGCATTTCTTCATGGAGATTTAGAGGAGGAGATCTATATGGAGCTTCCACCTGGATACAGATGCGCAGATAAGCCGAACATGGTCTGTAAGCTGGAAAGATCATTGTATGGGTTGAAGCAGTCCCCTCGTGCATGGTTTGGTCGCTTTAGTTCAGCTATGAAAGGGTATGGATACTCCCAAAGTAACTCAGATCATACTTTGTTCTTAAAAGGTGCTCAAGGAAGAATGACAGCTCTTATCATATATGTAGACGACATGATTATTACAGGCAATGATAGTGCAGAGATTATGAGACTGCAGGAATTATTATCAATGGAGTTTGAGATGAAGAACTTGGGAGGTTTGAAATATTTCCTGGGAATCGAGGTTGCTAGGTCGAAGGAAGGAATTTACTTGTCTCAGCGGAAGTATGTTCTTGATCTTTTGACCGAAGTTGGCATGCTAGATTGCAAGCCTGCAGACACTCCTATGGTGCAAAACTGTAAGCTTGGAGAGTACCTTGATCAGACGCCTACTAATAAAGAGAAATACCAAAGGTTAGTAGGTCGATTGATTTACTTATCACATACACGTCCTGATATTGCTCATGCAGTAAGTGTGGTGAGTCAGTTTATGCATGCACCTAGTGAGGATCATATGAGTCTTTGTGTGGCGCATCATTCGATATTTGAAGTCAGCCCAGGAAAGGGGTTGCTATTTGCAAAGAATGGCCACCTTGAAATAGAAGGTTACACAGATGCGATTAGGTGGAAGTGTGACAGACAGGAGGTCTACATCGGGGTATCTTACATTTGTGGGAGGCAACCTTGTTACATGGAGAAGTAAGAAACAAAATGTTGTAGCTCGGTCTAGTGCAGAAGCTGAATTCAGAGGTGTAGCAAAGGGGTTATGCGAACTTCTATGGCTTCGAAAGCTGCTAACTGAGCTCGAGTATCCACCAGGTTTGGAAAGCAAATTGTTTTGTGATAATAAAGCAGCCATAAATATTGCTCATAATCCAGTTCAGCATGATAGAACCAAACATGTGGAGATTGACAGACATTTCATCAAAGAGAATTTGGAGGCAAAAGTGATCCAGTTACCATTTGTCAAGTCTGAAGACCGAGTTAGCTGATATATTGACAAAGGCTCTGTCAAGTAGAGAATTTCATTGCTCACTTATCAAGTTGGGTATCAAAGACATCTTTGCACCTACTTGAGGGGGAGTGTGGTCGTGAGCTATTTTAGCCTATTTATTAGGTATTTTTATTGTATAGATTTCTTCCTAGTATAGAATCCTTCCTATTGTATATCTCCTAATTAGGGTTGTTATATGTCCTATATATATAACAAGATTGAGCATTGTAAATGTACAGAAAACATATTCATTGAATAGAAAAATGAGAGTCTTTTCTTCTACAACCTTTTGCCGGTTTCTGGAGATCCTTCAAGGGCATAAAGTCTGCATCACCCCTTTTGGGATCCGAGGCACATAGCCAGCATTCAACTGCAATGCCCCCAAAAAAATACTTGTTATACTCCTATTCAGTACGGACTCATGAAGAGAGAAAGCATTATGTTCTTTCAATAGAACATATACACATGCATATGTGCATTGTTGCTATGGTACTCAAAAGTTTGAGAAGTTTTATAGATGGGCTTCGAGCCCTTTCCAAAAAGCCATTTAGAATTTTCTCATAAAATTATAGCGATATTCATTTTATAAAAAGATCTTGAAAAATTTGACATGATTTCAAATGGTAATACTTATATGTATTCGCATCAGCCCGTTTGTTTTGGATCAAGCAAAAATAAAAAATAAATTCTTCTTTCTTTCTCACCAAATTTGTAAAACATTCAAATTTCAAAGAATTATGAAAACTTTATGTGCGAATTCACGTGCCAACATTTGCATGTTGAAATAATTTTGGGTGTATTGTGTAAATAAAGAGTCAAAGTATGTGTCTCGTGAGATTTAAATTAAGTAAAAACCAAGTGACAAAGATAAAAAGAAAAACATACTTGTTTTCTCCTTTTTTTTTTTCTCGTTGACTTGGTTCAACACACGCAAACTGAATTCTGCGTACACTTTCATCTTCGGAGTAAGGCGTTGCACTTCTAAGTAAACGGACAGCGACTTTTCCTGACTGGAGGCATTGCCTTTTTGATCCACCAATAACTTCCTACGCACGACAATTACAGGTAAATATATATGAGTTTTGGCTAATTCTATTTACAAACATAAGCGACAAAAATAAATAAATTCAGAAAGGTAAAAGGCGAGTAGCTAATTTTCATATTTTGCGAACTTTTTTTCGTTCTGGGAATGTACCATTGCCTTCCTTCGATGGTAAACTCGTCGGAATGGCGACGCGTGCCCAATGTGGACCAGCCTTGGAACTTCCATGTGAATGTGTTTTGAGGCGGGTATCTAGTCAAGGTAAAAGACTCCACCGTCATCTCGGCAGGTTGGATGACAAAAACCTCAGCCCCAAATGTGCAAGAGTCATTTCTATCAAGGTATCCATCTTGTTTGAATTTTTTCAAGGAAAGTAACCGAGGAAACCCGCATCGGGTCTTCGAGCTTTGGAAGCTGCTTACTGCCCCATCAGCATCTACACAGATTTCCACAAATTGATATAACTCTGTTGTTAATTCTGAACTATGATCATGTAATCGGAATTGTGACTTCATAAACATCGATTATGAATTATGTGATTATCAACCTTGGACGGTCAAGTACTCCTTTCGTGACTTGTTGTGCACAAAAAGCTTGTAGTTGACGTGAACTTTCAGACCTTTATCAAGCTTATCTTTCTCCTTGATGGACAAATAGAGGGAAATATATCCCGATCCATTTTGTTTCTTGTTTCCATTAGGGTAAAGAGATAGGCTCCTGAAAAAAACAAATTAGTTGTTTAATTAGCAGTTAATTTGATTAAGCATTAAATTTGTGGTTCCACAAAAATATGAGGATCTAGTTAGATGAAAATATGTTTGGAAGGGGATAGAAAAGGAAATAAAAAAACTCACCATTTGTAGCCCCCAGCTTTAAATACCTCGGAATCATACTTGCCCTTGTCCAACCTTGATAATGCGGAAAATGATTCAATCTTCAATGAATAATGAGCTGGTGGAAGAGCTCTCGTGTATTTGGCAGGTTCTGCCAAAAACAACCATTCGAACCCAATTGATTATTTTAGGAGATAGAAGGTAATTAAATGGCTCATCGCATATGTGCCGCAATTGGCCCAATAAGGTGCGACGCGACGAAAATCCTGTGCTCGAATTACAAAGTCGATGGGGCAGAATAACTTTTGGGCCGCGCCACACCTATCACCCTATGAGCACGGAGCCGTTTATCATTTATGAGCATGAGTGTATATTAGTCGACTCAAAGATTTGGATCCAAGTGTTATACAAATTTTTTAAAAAAGAAAGATAAAAAAAAATTGATGAGATAACCATTTCATATGTATGGAAATAATTAGTGGAAAATTCACATACGGCTCTGAAGTTAAGTGCTTAATAATACTATTGACAAATCCATCCTAGCTAAAATACAACCAGGAAATTCAATTTGGTTAGATAGCTTAATTTTTCCATGAGCCCTATTAGCTAGAAGATCAGCATGTGTGTGTATGTATAAATTCATGAATGGTCCTGAATGTAGAAAGGTCTTGTTTGAACCATTTTCTATTTTGGGCAAATAAAATTTGTAAAAGTTTGAAAGCGGAAAAAGTGTTAGAAAAGTCATAAACCTTTTGTATTGATGCTAATCGAGTCATAAACCTTTTTTTTTTGCCAATTGAGTCCTAAACCTTTTGTCTTTGTGTCAATTCAGTCTTTTTGGCTAATTTTGGCCGGATATTGCTGACATGGACGTCGGCCGGCTTATGTGGCATCGTTAATGCTGACGTTGATAATTTTTAATAATATTTTCATATTTTTTTGATTTTTTAAATTTTTTTCTAATTTTTTCCTTCTTTTTTTTTTTCCTCCTTTCTTCTACCTTTGCCCGGCCACTTGGGCAAGACCGCTGTCGCCCGGACGAGGCCACCGTTGCCCGCCACAGGTGAGGGTCAGCTGACCCTCGCCTGGGCGAGGGCTCCCCTCGCCTAGGCCACGACAGCCTCACCAAGCATCGCCTTCCAAGGCAACGCTTGGCAAGGCTGCCATAGCTTGGGTGAGGATCTGACCTAGGCAAAGCTGACCCTCACCGGGCCTTGCTTGCCCTTGCCGCGGCTCACCCAAGCGAGGGTCAGCCGGGCCTCGCTTGTGGTGGGCAATGGCGGCCTCATCTAGGCAGGTGGCCATGGCTAGTGGTCATTGGTCAGTCACCAGCCAAAGGTAGAAGAAAGGAGGAAAAAAAAAAGAAAAGAAAGAAAAAAAAAAGAGAAAAAAAGGAAAAAAATCAGAAAAATATTTAAAAAAATCAAAAAATAATTAAAATATTATTAAAAATTATCCACATCAGCACCGATGGTGCCACGTAGGCTGGCCCGGCATCCAAGTTAGCAATATCTAGTTAAAATTAGCCGGAAGGACTGAATTAGCACAAAAACAAAAGGTTTTGGATTCAATTGGCACAAAAAAGAGGTTTATGACTTAATTGACACAAATGCAAAGGTTTAGGACTTTTCTAATACTTTTCCCACTTGAAAGCAAAAGACATGAATCTCATTAAGAATAACAACACGGACTTAGGTTAATAAAAAAATGAAAATAGAGCGCAAAGAACAAGAAATAAAGTGAAGTACCTCTGCCCATTGCCATCTCCAATTTAGAAAGCCTGTTCTTTTAGCTTGCTCTTAGCTCTTCGTTGCTTCCTAGTCTGCTCCTCTTTCACTCTCCCTTTCTCAAATCGATCGTAGACTTCGCTCATCAACCCCAGCCATAATGGTGTTTATATAGGTCTAAGGAAGACCTCATGTGAAAAGGCCACATGAGGTCGTTGCAAGAATATTGAGTAAGACTATAGCAGGAGACAAAACGCCAACTTTCTTCTAATAAAGAAATGCTAAAAGAGAGGTTTCCCCAACTTTTCTTAATAAAAATTGCTAAAAGAGAAGTTTCCTCGTCACTGCCTAAACGGCAATGTCATTTCTTTGGCCTCTTTCCAAGTCTTCTCTCAAGTCTTTAGGAGTCAACGACAATTGAATGAGATGAATAAATCCAAAATCAAATGACCCATCTCTCTCTCTCAGGATACAGAATTCTTTTCTAAGGAAAAATGCTAGAAGTTTCCTCTGACCTCTCTCTCATTGAACGCATTGAAAAACGCTTATCTTCAGGAGAGAAATCAAATTGCGATTCCCGGGACTACGATAAGTCTAATACCGTCCAGCAATCTCGGCCTAACAAGCTCAGGCAGTTTTACTTAATTTACTCCATTTGCGATTGTCAAAGTCCTGTAATTTTACCTACTTTCGGTTCTTGATTTATGTGGTAAAATTTTCGTGATTTGATGTTTCTTATTACTCTAATCGCTCTGCTTCGTTGCGAGCACACGTGACACAAGGTAATTAAATAGAGGTTGTGAGACCTTGGTTATTTGATCATCACAGATTTCGTATTTCCACTCCGTTTTATAAGTTTAATGAATGGAATGTCTTTTCTACACAAACAAGAAAAAGAAAAAGAAATTGTATAGACATAGATAAAAAAATCTTTTTTTTTATTATAAATAGGGGCACAAGCTTAGATACCTGGCTACCTAAAGGTCTATGCTCTACAAGTCCCGTAAAACTGAATAAGCCCTGATATTTGAGAACAGTTTCACACAATTGATAAAGAATTCACCTTCGATTCTCGAGTTAGAAATCATCTGACATCCCAACCAACTACGTCAACCTTTGCGAGTTAAAACAAATAGACGATGTTTGCTTAAATTGCTTCATGTGTCATCTTGGGAGTGATTTCAAGGAGACGCAATGTCATTCATCTAATACAATTAGGATAATGCTCATATTGACCGGAAGGTGGCACCCGTTGACTCGTCCACTCAGATTCCCATAATCACAGGGGGCCCCACCAAAGGGTGACGTCATACGGCCGAGCTCACCACGAGAGTGGCGCTCGTTGACTGGTTGACCGAACGAGACGGGGGCGTGCAGCACGTGTTGTTCCCGAGCCTTTTATGGCTGCGTTTGGGATTGGCTTTAGGAAGCCACTTTGGGCACCTAAAGCCCTTTAGCCTAAAATTTGGTGTTTGCCAAATTTTTTTTGAAATCTCATTGAGCTAAAGTTGGCCTTGTGAAGGCTGAAAACCCAAGGCAGGTCCTAGGCTGCCTTGGGTTTTCAGCTTTTTCGGTAAGCAATAGTACCCGGGTAAGTAAAAAAAATTTCTTTCGAAACTACCCTCATCTATTTTTTGATTTTCCGGTTTTGCCCTCGTCTGGCACTGTTCATCTTCCCGAGGAACCAAACTGGAGGCTGGCGACTGCTGCCTGAGGGGTCTGGCCACTGCCGCCTGGGGGTCGGCTGACCTCTGGCGACCGCCGCATGGGGGTCGCCCGACCTCAGGCGGCGCCTAGGTCGCGTGGCCGAGGCCGGGTCGCGCGACCTAGGCGCCGCCCGAGGTTGAGCGACCCCAGCGGCGGTTGCGGCGACGGCGCATTCGGAGGTCGCGACCCGGCGCGGTTTCGGAGGTGGCCGACCCCGGCGGCGTTAGGCCGGACCGCGCGACCCGGGCGACGCCTAGGTCACGCGACCTCGGGCCGCCTCGCCCGAGGTCGCGCGACCCTAGGCAAGCGTCGGCTTGGGTCGCACGACCCGGGCGAGGCGGCTGAGGTCGCGTGACCTAGGCGTCGCCCGGGTCACGCGGGTAAGGCCAACGCCGCCTGGGGGTCGGCCGACCTCCGGCAACCGCCGCCTGGGGTCGCCTGACCGGCTTGGGTTGCGCGACCCAGGTGAGGCGGCCTGAGGATCGCGCGACCGTCAGGCGAGGCTGGCCGGCGGCCAGATCTGGCCGTCAGAGGTTGGCCGGCGGCCGTTTTGGCCCGCCGGCAGTGACTGTGCTTTTTGTTCAATTTTTTTTATATAAATAATGAGCAAAAGTCCTTTACAAAATTAATTTTACCAAACGGTATTTAGACCAAAGTTACTTTCAAACGTGATTTTAAAATATATATTACCAAATACTACTTGCATTTTGAAAAACCCTTTTAGCTCAAAGTTCTTTGCATTTTCCCAAAAACTTTCCCCCAAAGTGTTTCCAAACGCACCCTATGTCGAGAGCCCAACGCAGCTCGTCTACCGCACGATCACGGACGTACGCGGTGGAGATCTCCCACCGACCAACCCCAGCCCCTCCCTCCTAGGCAGTAGGCTCCTATGACCAAACCGGACGAATATTATATACTAGATAGATTAACAGATTTATTTTTGCGGGGCAAATGTTTTTATCAAACGGTTAAGATTAAGAAACAATATTATATAGCCACAAATGCGAAAAGAAGAAATCCCGCGTCGGGTGAATTAGTAGATAAATATGTGCATTTTATAGACTAATTGGATTTACTTTAAGAAAAGGCAAACCCTATTTTTTGAAATGTTGAAAATGAACATTATGTTAAATATATGTGAATTTTGCGCGTTTAATTATTCGCATGTGGGGAGGTTTTAGTTGTTTCTTTCTAAATAAAAGTAACGTTACGCTAGCTGCAAGATTTAAGGAAAACAAAACAATCAAGAAAATTCTTACGAGACAAAGACTTTACTTTAACTTATTAATATGTATAGGCAGCCAATTCACGTTTTATTGTCATATCCGTCGAGTGGATTGTCCTTTTTGTCAGTGCGACGAGGGACGTCGGGTTAGGTAGGGCCGGAGGTCGGTGGGAGGTCTCCATCACGTGCTTCCGTGAATTGGGCTCTGGAGCTAAAGGCTAAAAAATAAGGGTCAATACTACGAAAAACCCCAAACTGGTACATCTGTGATAAATTTACCTCAAATTATTTTTTGACAACAAAAAATCCCAAACTAGTACACTTGTGATAATTTTACCCCGAACTAATTTTTTGACCACCAAAAATCCTAAACTGGTACATCTGTGACAAATTTACCCTCCATTAGTTTTCATTAAATTTTCAAATTGCTAAGTTTGATGACACGTGGTAGTTGACGGGTGCACCAATTTGGTTTTACCACTTTGTTTGTCACAAGCTTACCGATTTGTGATTTTTCGTGATATTAATTCAATTTAATGGACATTAACGGAGGATAAATTTGTCACAAATGTACCAGTTTGGGGTTTTTAGTGGTCAAAAAATTAGTTTGGGGTAAAATTGTCACAGGTGTACCAGTTTAGGGATTTTGGTGGTCAAAAAAATAAATCGGGAAAAAATTGTCACAAGTGTACCAGTGTGAGGTTTTTGGTGGTCAAAAAAATAGTTCGAGGTAAATTTGTTACATGTATACCAATTTAGGGTGTTTGGTGGTCAAAAAATTAATTTGAGATAAAATTATCATAAATGTACTAATTTAGGATTTTTGGTGGTATTAATCCCAAGAATAACACGTAGACGCTCCGTCATATCCGGTCAAAGAGTCAACGAGTGCCACTTTCGTGGTGAGCTGGCCAATATGACGTCAGAACCGATGACGTCACATTCGGTGGGGATATTGGTCAATGAGTCAACGAGGGCCACTTCCAGGTAATTTCCCACTGACTTTCTTTTTTAAGCGGTTTACTTAGTGTACCCCTCAAATGAAATTACTACAACAAATAAAGATCGAACCTTAGACTTCATACTTTGTATACATGTGTCGTCGATGATGAGACATTTTTCATTAATTGATTTTTTCAAAGCGATATGAGCGGATTATTTTTAAGAATATATTTTTCAAAATTTTTCACCATCCACAAAATAAACGGAGCCATAATCACGATGGTGTTTGAGTTTTCTTTTTCCTTTCTTTGTTTCTTTCTTCTTCTTCTTCTTTTTTGTGTGTTTGAGTAACTAGAGTAAGTAAGTCACTTTAAAAAATGACTGGAAACTTGAATCATTCCATACTTGTCAAGCAAAATTAGCACTGCCCTAATTGTGTTAGATCAATGACGTGCACATCCTTAAAACCGTTTTATAAACGTGAAACAACTTAAGCAAAAAAAGTAGTTTATTTATTCATTTTAACCTCCAAGGATTGGGGCAGTTGGTTGGAATGTCAAAGGATTTCCAGCTCAATAATCGAAGGTAACTTGTTCAAATCTCATCAACCATATGCAAACTAATCTTAGTTAGGGCGAGTTCCACAAGCAAAGGCCGAGACTTAACTGATTTATGGGACTAGCGGAGTGTTTTGATGGATCTCCAAGTAGCCGGGTGTCTGCACTCATATCCCTGGATTATGAAAAATATTCATTTATCTATTCCGACATAAATTCTTTTTCCTTTTTCTTCTAGACAGGAAAGACTTGTCCATTCATTGAACTCATGGAATAGAAGTGGGACAGACGGAATTCATGATAACAAGATAACCCTGGCTCACGAGCTCCTACCTTGAGCCGCGCGTGCTCGCAACCGAGCAAAGCGATCAGAGCAATAATAAACATTCAAACCAAGAACAGTGGCCACATAAATCAATGATTGAAGAAAGGGGTTTTTTTTCAATGTGCTCAATGCACATGGTTGATCGTGGGCGGCGTTACTGGTGGCGGCAGCCACGGAGTCCTCACGGTGGACCCTCCACACACAGACACACACACACAGAAGGAAACTTCTCTTTAGCATGTTTTTATTAGAAGAAAAACTGACATTTTGTGTCCTGTGAGAGAGAGAGAGAGAGAGAGAGAGAGAGAGAGAGAGAGAGAGAGAGGAATCTTCTCTTTTAGCATTTTTTATTAGAAGTAAAAATGGCATTTTGTGTCCTGTGAGAGAGAGGAATCTTCTCTTTTAGGAGTTTTTTTTTTCGGTCAAGTTTAGCAGTTTTTATCAGAAGAAAAACTGGCATTTTGGATCCTGTAATAGTTTTGCTTGATTGCTTGCTTCTACTTTGAACGACCTCATGGTACCCTCTTTTCTATGTACCAACTCAATGCAGATCTTCCTAAGACCTTTCACAACATAAGTCCGTGAATATCGAAAAGGCAAATAAGGGAAAAATATGATATCATCAACCAATAAATGCGATGCCTTGCCAATGAGCACTGCTTCTTTTGATAGTCGATGACGAAACATCATCACGTTCTGTCAATGTGAAAGTTTGATTTCTTGGAGTGATTTTCAAATGTAGAATGTTTATTTGCTGGGAGGGTCTTTTTTTATATTTGTTCAAAGACTTCCAATACAAGAGTAGGTAAAGCTATGATTGATTAAACAAATGATTCCATGCATTATCTGTCAGACTCTCTATATAAACACTATCGAGGTTGGGGTTCATTTGCGGAGTATTGAGAGAGAGAGAGAGAGAGAGAGAGAGAGAGAGAGAGAGAGAGAGAGAGAGAGAGAGAGAGGAGCAAATTAGGAAGCAACGAAGAGCTAAGAGCAAGCTTAGGGACATGCCTCCTAGAGTGGAGACGCCAAGCTGCAGCGCACCTCCCAGGAGCAGTGAACCTGGTACTTCTCTTCATTTTTTGTCTTTGCGGTCTACTTTCATTTTCTGTCTTTGCGGTCTACTTTCATTTTCCTCAACCTAAGTCTTTGTTGTTATTCTTGATAAGTCATGCTTTTGCTTTTAAACTTTTTAACAAACTTTTATTTGGCTGTAATGCCATTTTAGAGGATTCAGGTAAGACCTTTCTACATGCACGATCATTCATGATCGTTAAGTAAGAGCTTACCTTGTCATGAACTTATTCTTGTTCGATTCAATTCAAAATCAAATATCTCGAGAAATAGGATCCCGATTCCCACTACTTTCATGTATGGAGCACGGATTTCTCAAGAAATAGGATTTCAATCCTCATGCCTTTCGGGAATATTTAGCCTTCAAAGTTTGTCTGAAAGACCTGAAGTGGAAGGGCCAATTTATGCACATTTGGGGCGAGCCATTGAACAACCTTCTATCTCCGAGATTGTGAATACAATCAATTGTGCTCAAATGACATTTTTTTTTGTGACAGAACGTGACGACGAGTTGTCCCGTAGATTTTGTCCGCCAGTTCATTATGTAGTGGAGATAAATTCAGTTACCGAATTATTAAAATTAAATACGTATGAATCCGGTGTCTTTGAAGCTGGGGGCTACGAATGGTGAGTTGTCGAATTTCCCTTTTTTTTTCATCTAACTCGACACTCATATATTTTGGAACCGCAACGAACTCAATCAAGAGATACAACTTCGATGCTTAATCAATTCACAGCTGATTAAACGTTTAATTTGTCATTTTCAGGAGCTTATGCCTTTACCCTGAGGGACACAAGGACCGTGAGGGGAAGGTATATATGTCCATGTATCTGTCAATCGAGGAGCCAAATAAGCTTGGAAACAGTGGGCAAGTTGTAGTTGACTACAAGTTTTTTGTGTTTGACAACATTCGCGGGGAGTACGTCACCTTCAAAGGTTGATCATCACGTAATCCATAATCAATGATCACAAAATCACACTTCCACTTCTAGTAACGTCATCATTATTTTATAGAATTCACAACAAACTTACATCAACTTGGTGGACTTGTGTGCAGAGAAAGGCAAGGAGTTGAGGGCATTCAGTAAAGCGAAGCCCCAATGGGGGCTTTCTAAGTTTCTTTCCTTGGCAAGTTTCAACAATAAGCCATATGGATTCCGTCGGGGTGAGTATTGTAAATTTGGGGCTGAGGTTTTGGTCAGCAAGCGTGAGAGGAAGAAGGAGACTCTCACCATCATCAGGGACCCGCCACACTACATAACCACTAGGAAGATCCGGCAGTTCTCCACATCGAACAAGAACCCTCAGTATTCCGACCCCTTCACCCTCGGAACGAGGAGGACTTGGTACGTTCCCAGAACCAAGAAAGCTCATGTTTCTAAACAGGATTAGCTAAAACTCATCTTTGTTTAACTGCAATCATCGTGCGTAGGAAGTTAAAGGTGTTTCCCCAACGCCATGGGGACCGGGAGGGGAATTCGCTGTCCGTTTACTTACAAGCGCACAACCTTCCTCCGAGGATCAAAATGTACGTAAAAGCCAAATTGCGTGTGTTGAACAACAACGACCATAAGAACGATAAGGAAAAAATAGGTAGGCTTCTCTTTTCTTTTTTCTCTACGACAGCCGTGTATGGGTCGACTTTTACTTCTTCTTTTTTTGTTTTTTACATAATCAAATTTTTACGTTGCACACACTTCTACTTCCTGTTAATCCAAAAAATCCAAAACTTTTACAACATGCAAATGTTGGCAGGTAGTTTCGGATATAACTTTTGCATTACCTTTTGAAATTTGAATGATTTATTATTATTTTTCAGTTTTTCTTAATCCAAAACAAATGGGCTAACGCAAATACATTTAAGTATTACCATATGTAAATCTTGCAAAAAATTTAAAAGAAAATCATGCAGAATTTTTCCCAGATATTTTTATAAATGAACATCATTCTTATTTTATGGTAAAAATCCGAGTGGCTTTTTGGAAAGGGCGCAAAGCCCATGATTACCCAACTTTTGAGTATCATAGCAACAATCCACATATACATGTGAATATCTTCTATTGAAAGAACATAATGCTATCTCTCTTCATCAGTCCAAATTGAGTATGAATGTGCTAATTGGACATGGCTTCATCTATATTATTTTTTTAAAAAAAAGAACTAAGAAGTATTTTTTTCGGGGGCATTGCAGTTAGTGGTTGGCTATCTGCCAACAATTACAACTGCGGTCACCCAGACTTTATGTCGTGGGGGGATCTCTGCAAACCGAATGGAGGGTTCGTTCGCAAGAAAGAACTGGAAATTACAGTCCAAATCCTCGTCATATCAGATGTCGCGAGGATTGATGAACGGGTTTGATGACTTACGTCAATTTTTATTGAGTCAGAATTAACTCCTCGAGAACGATGTGCGTGGACCAAATTGGCGTTGACATTGGTTCCCCCAAAGTCCAGATTTGCATATGGAAGATGCCTAGTATGTCCACAATCTTGTGGAATCGTAATTTCTTTGGAGCTTGCTTAGTATGTTCTGTGTTTCCGTACTGTGTATAATCGAAGCTATGCTTATAATAAAATCCTCGTGAGCCAATTTATAGTTTGTTGCGATTTTGTCTTGTGCTGTAGTAGAGCCGTGATGTTTGCAAGCGTGCTATCTAAAATGTCTGCTCATAGCTTTCGCTGTGAGTATCCTTTGGAAGGGTAGTAGAGCCGTGATGTTTAGGGTTCCAACGGTGAGGATCCCCAAGGAAGGTGGTAGGGGTCCTTCCCTAACGCCATTGACTATTCGCAAGGAGCGATGTGCAGTGGTGTTTGGTGCAAAAGATGGCCCAAGTAGAGCGGAAGCGTTGTGGCCTTAGGATGGTAAGCACAAAGCGGAGGTGCAGTAGCGTATGGCTAGCATTTAGTCAAAATGTGCGGTGGCCTCACATATTTTGTGTAGAGAGAAGGTGCTATGGCCTTTGGATACGTGGACAGTGAATTATAGCATCAAATAATGATCATTAAATGTGATGATTTATTGCAATCATTCAATTAAGAATACGGGTGTAACTTGGGTAACCATGAAACGACCTTAGAACATGTAACAGGTAGGTTCTAAGTTCTAGAGTATCCATAGTAGATTCTAGGTTTCAAAAATTTAGGAACCGGTTTCGATAAATAGATTTCATGTTCCAGGTGGAACCTGGAACGACCTTTAAACTGCTCACCCCTACCACCTAAGAGTGAAAAATACCCAAACTTGCCTGAACTGAATTGAAAATTTTGGGTCTTTTCGGTTTGGGTAATAAGTAAAGGAATTTGGGTATATTGAAGGTTCGGGTAATATGCCCGAACCGAACCGAAACAAGCTTTTTTAATCTCTTTCCTTATTTGGTGCCTGAAGAGTGAATTAAGACTGTATCTAATCTTTTCCATTTGAGCGAATATTTTCTTTCTCATCTCAATATTACGATTCCAGCAGCCAACACCTCAGCCTTCTCCCTTGCCCTCTCCGCCACCATCGCCCTCACCTTCACCACCAGATATTGCGAGCTCTATTGAGCTCTAGCAGCTACAAGCGGTGGATCTCGTCCACAGTCGAGCTCTAGTCTTTCTCATTTGTTGGGACTCCGCCGAGGCTGGGGAGCCACTCTTTTCGCTGGGCCACCCTTAGGTGCTTATGCGCCTCTCGACCATGACCGTCTAGATCTTGACGAGATCGGCGGTCATGGAACCTCATCGTCAACGACGTTATGAAGCTCCTGATCAAGGCGTTCTCAAGATCCGTCCTTGTCGCCGGCGATCTCAAGACATGGCGTTCTGATTCTAGAGCTTTTGCTGTGCAAAGGGAAGACAAAAAATGTTTTAGTAATAAACTTAGACACGCACACTTGTATGTATATACATATATGTATTTCATATCGTATCCTTTTTGTCTGAAAATGCTTTAGTAAATCAGAAAGAACATGCTATTGTAAGTTTTTTTTTTCTATAAATATCTATTCAATAAAATGAATGGATATGCATTAACTATGTTATTAGTTTTTTTGGGTAAAAGTCACAAAAATTCCCAAACTATGCCCAGTGTAACATATTTACTCCAAACTTGTACCCGTGTGTCACATTTGCCTCAAACTTTTTTTGTGACATAAAAACCCTATTTCTCATGTGGCGCAAATGCTTTATCACGGTTAAGATTAAGAAAAAATGTTGTGTAGTCATAAATGTGAAAAGAAAAATACCCGCACTGGGGATTTTCCACACATATTCTCATATAGTTTTGTCAAGACAACAAAAATTGGTACTCTTACAATGTCAAAAACTATTGTGTTGACACCTATGTTTAGGCTGCGAATGATAATCATTCTGTTTCTTTGTTTTTTTATTTTTCTGTTTCTAGGAACAGATTTGGAATAGAAATCCATTTGGTAACATAATTTTATTTTTCTATTTTTGGAACAAATTTTAATTTAGAAATAGGTTTGAAACAGAAATGAGAAATAACATTTTTCTACTTTTTTATTTATGAAATAAAAATTAGAAATAAAAATTCTTTTCATCGCTCGCTCTTGCTACTAGCTGGTTGCCTGCCCGCTGCCTGCCTCCCACCCCCACCTCCCGCCGTTGTCCTCCTCTCGCCACCCACCTCCTGCCGTTGCCCGACGCCATCCACCTCTTGGCACTGTCCTCCATATTGGTCGCCCCACCATCTGCTGCCACCTCCCGCCACCTTCCACCAGTTGTCCACTTGCTAGGTGCTCGAGAGAGAGAAATTTTGTGTTGTTATCAACAAATTTTTATTTTGGGAACAAAAATTTTTGTATTGTTATCAGACGCGTATTTTTTTCTCAGAAACTCATCCATGGAATAGAAATCTATTTCTGGTCATAAATTGATTTCTGAAACAGAATAGTTGTCTTTCGCACCCAAGATTAATTATACAAAATTTAGGAGTTAATGTCCTTAATTCCTAAAAAACAAAAAAAAAATTATTCAATTGCATTGCATATAGACATTAGGTGCATTTTACATTATTAGAATGTATTGTCTTCTTTTAATTAAATTTTAAAAAATAATAATAAAAAAAAATTAGATTGGCCCGGGCCAGGGCCGGCCCGACCCAACCCCAGCCCCATCTTCCTCTTCCCCTCGCCCGCGTGCTCACCGACCCTCTCCCTTTCTCTCTCTCGTTCGTGCGGCCACGGCCATTTCTCTTCCCCTCGCCCGCGCACGGCCCAGCCATTCCCTTCCTCTTTCCCCACTCAGCCTGGCCCCTCTCCCTCTCCCTCTCTCCTCTTCCTCTAACCGTTGCCATGGACACCGAGATGGAGGGGATCCATGTACTGGCCTAAAACGGCCACAAAAGTCAAGGACGCAAAGTAGGCCGGTGCAGGCCATTCAATGAGGAGTTAATGGGGCAAAAGCAAGTGGTCGTTGACCATAAAAAGACCAGAGAAAAGGAGAGAAGCCAGCCACAGAGAGAGAAGAAAAACAAAGTAATGAGAAAGAAGAAGAGAAAGAGAGATTGAGCAAAAAAGTTTCAACCTTTGGCTTGCGGGTTGAAAAACAAAGCCAAAGGAAGCTTCCCCGTTGAGTCTACGCCGCCGACAGTCCCTTGAACTGACGCCTCCAATCGGTGAGTTTACTCAGCCCCTTTTTCCCCTGCTTTATCCTGTTTTTCTGTGTAGGTTGATTGGGACTCGCATCGGCCGTTTCGCTTGAATCCTGGCCCATACCGATCCTGCTCCTAGTCCAGACTCGCCGTCGGAGACGAGTCGTGGCCGCCAAAGCAGGCTCGAGCCCTTCAAGAGGTCGGGGTTACCGATTTTTAGCCATAAGCTCCAGCTGTTCGACAAAATGCCTAAATGAAATCCCGTTTGGTTGAGTCTCGGTCGGCGATCTCCAGTTTGGCCGGGGAGTCGGGAGGCCATTCCCAGCTGTGTGGTGGCTAGGTAAGACTAAGGAGGGCTAAAAATTGGCTTGGGTTCGCTGGCCCAGCTCTGATCGACGTTTGGGCTGGAAGAGCCTCGGTCGGAGCTCGGTCGGCTGCCACGTGGCTGGCCAGGCAGGGGCCGCCTCGGCCCCAAATGCCAAGGCTGGTGAGGCTAATGGCCAGGCGAGATGACCGGCCAATCGTCATATCTCTCCAGACCGGCGCTCTTGCATGCCTGTGCATGCAGGAGCCGGCCTGAACCCAGCCTACAGACCCGGTTAGACTGGTCTGTAGGCCATTTAAGGCAGATTCGACTGGGTCGAACCGGCCCTATTTTGTCCATTTCCATTGGATTGGGCCTAATCCAGTTTAGGACCTGGGTCAACCACTTGGGTTGACCCTTGACCTAATTCGGATCCAAAGATCTAAACTGGGTCATTGCATATGGGTCGGGTCCGTTGACCCGGATCGGTTTCGACTTGATCCAAATCTGACCCAATTGAATATTATATTAATATTAAATTATTTTTAATTAAAAAATATTTAAAAAAATCGAATTTTTTTAAAATTAAAAAATAGTTTAGAAATTAGTATTTTTGAATAATTTTCTAAATTATGTAAATTATTTGATTAATAATTATGTCTAAATTGGATAAGCCTATGGGGCTATACAGTAGGATTTTGAATGTTATTTTTACTACTGTTGTATTATTATTATGCATGTTATTTCTAATTAGTATATAATTGCATAAATTGTCATGTGTTGAATGTTGTCACCCTAGTTACGATTAGAATCCTAGGCTGCATATCTTTCTTGACTGCTAATCATTAATGAATATGCACTCGTTTGATCACCTCACATGTTAGGAAATAGGTCCTAAAATCAATTCAAACTGCTTGATAAATATTTTCTAAAATGAATAGGATGAAAGGTACCGAAATGGCACTAGTTACTCAACTAGTGTAACCAAGTCCCCGAACTCATTTAATCTCTGATTCGCAGAAGTAAGACATTTCTCTCATTACTTTATTTGGGTATCTAATCGACCCACCATAAACTGATTAGTGACGACTCCTAAATAAAAATCACTTGCAAGTTAAAAAACCTAAATCACAAGTCGCGATATGATATGGGCTTGGGAAAACCCAAAGTAAATCCCAGAACTAGACTTAGCGCGTACTAGGCTGACACCTTTTCCTCAAAAGCGGGTTGCGACACTATGTAAGAAGAAACTAAGAAGGTTGCGACACTATGTAAGGAGAAACTAAGATACACGAAAAATTTCCTAAGCCAGACTAAAGCTTCAAGCCGGTACTGCGACGTATTTCTCCCTCTTAAACCTGCAACAGACAATTAAATCTTAACAAATATATTTCACATCCAAAAGTCAAATAAAATACCATCTAATAAGAAGGGCAAACAGCTCAAATGCCCTAAGATTTCTCCTTAATCTTTAATTATAGATTAGCACTGGTGGATGGAGTCAATACTTACTTGTAACAAACGTTATACGAATGTAAACAAGTAGTGAAACCAATATAAACAAGAAGTAGTAAAAACCCTTACGCGAAGATCTCCACGAAACATCTACTTGGTAAGCAGTATATGCTGCACTCTCGGTGGTTATCTCCCACTCCACATTCTTGTCGTTGCAACACAGCGACATTAATTCGTACCTCTT